CACCAAAAGTCGGCATTACCTTTCCTATAGGAGGAGTTTGGTCTCAATGGTGTGTATATTTGTTTAGTTATAGAGAAAACTCTCCTTGTCTCTTAAAGAAATTGAACAAGGGGCAAAAACTTTATCATCGGTTTTCTCAAAACAGCGTTTTTCGGGATAGCCCCCTTGTGGTTAAAATTTACAATTTATGGTTGTCTTCGACAGGACGGCGTCTTACCAAGTATGATTATAATGTAAAAATAAGCAAGGGAGGAAGTGAGAAGAGTCTTTTTGTACAGCTAATTATCTTAAACAGGTATCAGGTTCGACAATACGTGTAATGTCGAAGTGTTTTCCATCTCTCAAAAGTTGGCACAAGTCAACCCCACGTTTAGACCTTAGTAGCTCAACGCACATTCGGGATCCTCGTGTAATCGAAAGACGCTTTTAGTCTAAGCAGGTGGGCGGAGAGCGCCATTGGTAGGTCCCACTTCTTTAGTTTTCCCTCTGTTTTTTAAATGTCTAATGTCTGTTTGTCTGTTCTACTTTTATTCCCAGCAGTACAGGCCATTGTTATGTCGTTGTCTTTCTTTTTACTCAAACTATTTTAATAAAAGAACGCCGGATCCATAATTTTATCCAAAAGCGCAGTGCTCAAGAGAAGAACATTTGATGTGTGTTTTTGGTGGTTGACAGGTGCTCTGGTGTTGTTCGCCCCTTGTTTCCTATCAAACATCTATCGCATTTATGTCTCCTCTTTCTTTTCTTTGTATTTTGCTCTCTCGCATTGCCTCTAAACTTGGCAGTGGGGGGTTGGCAGGTGCTCTGGTGTGGTTTGCTCCTTCTTTCCTGTCAAACATCTATCGTCCTTATCCCTCCTCCTTTTTTTTGTATGTTACTCTCTCGTAACATATCTATTCTTCGGCACTTATATGGCCTTATTGTGTTGCAAGTGCCGTAAAACTTTTATTAAAGCAAAAACTAAACTTAGGCACTTGTATAGCGTATTGTGTTGCAAGTGACGAAAAAGTCTTACTGTCTAAAACAAGGTCTCACCTTGCTGTCCAGTGTTGAGGAACAATCGGAATTACCCGGCGTTTGTGGGTGGTTAGAGGGAGTCTCAGGTACGTCCTACTTCTGTATTTTCTCCATGTTCTTTCTGTATATTCTCTTACGTCACAAGCGCTATGACCTTAGCGGAAGTGAAATATGAGCCTTGCTCATCGCGCCCTCGTGACACATGACCCCCGGAGGTCATATGTTTGGGTCGGGGTTCATCGGGTCAGAGGTTCCGTCCTCCACGCGCCATACCAGAACATGGCGCCTAAATGTCACGGGAAATGTCATCATCTTCGGGTCTGAGAGGACCGGCCTCTTTATCCCTCACACATTCCAATTGTGTCGTGTCTCTTAGCTCAAGTTTTGTATCTTTTAGGTGGGTGGTTGGCGGGTGCTCTGGTGTGGTTTGTCCCTTCTTTCCTGTCTGACATCTATCGTCCTTATCTGTCCTTTTTTGTGTTGGTTCCTCTCTTGTAGTGGCTGGTTGACAGGTGCTCAGGTGTGGTTTGCTCCACCTTTGCTATCAAACATCTATCGTCCTTATGTCCCCTCTATTTTGTGTGTGTGGTTATTGCTCTCTGTTGTAACACATCTAATCCTTGGCTCTTTTATGACCTTATTGCGTTGCAAG